CCTCCTGCCAGACTCCTCCCCCTGACCCCTCCCCGCAGCTCCCACGGTGCTGGCGGACGTGCTGCCCACGGACCCAGCCATGCAGGAGGAGATCTTCGGGCCCATCCTGCCCATCGTCGTGGTGGCTGATGTGGAGGAGGCCATTGAGTTCATCAACGCCCGCCCACGCCCTCTGGCTGTCTATGCCTTCTCCTGTGACAGCAAGGTGGGTGTGGGCCATGGCCAGGAATGGGGGTGAAGGCAGCGTGGAACCATGGAATGGTTTGGGTGGGAAGGGATCTTGCCAGGTCACCCCATCCAACCCCCCTGCAGGGAGCAGGGACCGCCCCAACTAGAGCAGGGTGCTCAGAGCTCCATCCAACCTCCCCTGGAATGGTTCCACCACCTCTCTGGGCAACGTGGGCCAGGGGCTCACCCCCCTCAGCATCCAACATTCCTTCCTTCTGTCTGGAAATGGGGCAGTTGGGCTTGTGCCCCCCTCGCTGGGTGCTCTGATGGGTCTTCTGAGCACACGAGGCCAGTGAGGGATGAGTTGGGTGACGTTTGACAGGCGCTGCCCGTGGTAGCCAAGGTGTGAGGCCCACGTGCACCTTCTCTGCTCCCCTCCCAGGTGGTGAACCAGGTGCTGGAGGGGACGAGCAGCGGTGGCTTCTGTGGCAACGACACCCTGATGCACGTGACGCTGACCTCGCTGCCCTTCGGGGGCATCGGTAGGGTCACCCCCCCCAGGCTGGCCCTGAGGAGGGGTCTCGGGGGAGAGGGGGCTCCCAGGGTGAGCCCCAGGTCCAGGGGACTGTGAGGTTTCTTCTCTCCCTGGTGGCCATCCCAAGGACAGTGTTCTCTGCATAGATGGAGGTGTCTTGGCTAAAATGTTGGGAATTTTGACTGTGGCCACCACAGGAACATCTCCAGACCTTCCTCTCCACATGCAGACCCTCTGTGGGGCGCCCGAATTCTGCACCTCTTGATTCTTTCCCTGGTATTTCTGGGCTCTATCTGTTAATCTTGTGGCAGGGTTGGGGTCCTGCCCTGCTCAGCTTTACCTGGGAGCCCCCCAGGTGCTGCTCCCTTCGCTCTGCTCCTTGTCTGGGAGCACACCCGACGAGTTGTGCTCCTGGGGTAGGGGAGACTCCTCCTGCAGACAGCCTGGTGCTGGAGGGGGGCCCTGCCCCTCACTCAGGAGCAGGCTGCTGCCATCAGGATGCCTTTTAGCACTAAGTCCTGGCACCAAAATGCTTGTAAACATCTGGAGAACCTGCTCGTGGGGACGTGGAGATCCTCCTGGGTGAAGAGGGCGAGTTTCTGCTCCCCAGGGGCAGCAGCAGTTGTTTTCCTGGGGTGAAAAGCAAGGTTTGCCCACCTCTGGGCCCTGCCTGTCGCCTTGTCCAGGGAAGGGGCTGGGAGAAGAGGGAATTTTCTTTCCCCAGGATACTTCCCAGTCCCCAGGGTGTTCCCTGGGACCACCTCCCCCTTTCACACCACTCATGCTCAGCGTCTGTGGGGGTGGGCACCCAGTTCCCTCCTCCTGGGCCACCACGGCGCCGAAGCAGGGTGAATTCCTCACCTCAGCTGTGGCTCAGGGAACGAGTTTTGGTGGTTCCCACCCACCCCTTAACTTTATCTTTATGGAGGTGATTCACTCAGACGTCCTCCAAGGCCGGGGTGAAGCCGTTGGGTAGCAGCCTGGTCAGGGGCAGGTCACTGGGGGTGAGACTGAGGCTTCCACTGCAGCTTGGGTGTGAAGTCACGGGGCTGTTAACAGCCACGGGGCAACCTCAGGCTTAAACCAGCCCCAGGAATGAGGACAACCCCCATTGCCAGTGTGGCTCAGATCTTTAAGAGCTCTGGGAAGGTGGTGACCATCGTAGGAGCCACGTTGGTGGCTCCTAGAGGTGGGTAGATAGGGTAGAGCACCACAGAGAGAAAGGGAGCCTGGTAGACCCAGTCAGGCTTACACAGACCAGTGAAAACAATGCTCTCAGGCCTCCTCTGGGAAGAAAGTGGCCACTGTAAGGGCCACGCTGGTTGCCCCTAACCATGGGTAGCTCTGGTAGAGCACCACAGAGGTTGTAGAAGGAGATTGAGCCGTGTAGACCCAGCCCAGCTGAGGTAGATAAATGCAGACCAGTAAAAAGGACACGCTGGGACCTCCTCTGGGAAGAAAGTGGCCACTGTAGGGGCCACGCTGGTACCGCCCTGGTAGCCCCTAACCACGTGTAGATAGGGTGGAGAGAAATCAAGCCCTGTAGACCCCGCCAAGAGTACACAGAGAAACCCAGACCAGCAAAAATGACACGCTTGGACCTTCCCCAGGAGGGTCTGCAGGAGGGAGCAGCCACAGAGCTGGGAGAGGGTGGGGGGGAGGTGGAGGTTCCACCGAGAAGAACCTCTCAGGTTTTCCTGTTTTTTTTCCTGCTGGCGAGTCCCCCCCCCCTGCCGTGTGTCTGCAGGGAACAGTGGCCTGGGGAGGTACCACGGGAAGTTCACCTTCGAGACCTTCAGCCACCGCCGGGGCTGCCTGCACAGGAACATGGGGCTGGAGCCCCTCAACGCCCCCCGCTACCCGCCCTACACCCCCCAGAAATGGGCCATCGTCCGGGCTGCCTCCGAGGTCAAGCTCAAGGGCACCTGCACCCTGCTCTGAGGTGGCCCAGCTGCCACCCCGGTGGCCCCCACCGCCGCTGAGCGCCCTGG